ACTACTAACTACTAACTACTAACTACTAACTACTAACTACTAACTACAACTACTACTACTACTACTACTACTACTACTACTACTAACTACTACTACTACTTCTACTACTACCACTACTACTACTACTACTAAACTACTACTACTACTACTACTACTTTACTACTACTACTACTACTTTACTCCTACTACTACTACTACCACCACCACTACTAGTGCACTACTACTAACTACTACTACTACTACTACTACTACTACTACTAGTTCTTCTTCTACTTCTACTTCTACTACTACTACTACAACCACTACCACCAATGCTACCACTACTACTACTACTACTACCACTACTACTACTACTACTACCACTACTACTATTACTGCTACTATACCACTACCACTACCACTACCACAATCACTACCACTACCACTACCACTTCTACTTCTACTACTACTGCTTCTATTATGACCACTACTGACTAGTACTTCTTCTAACTACTGCTGCTACCACTCGTACCTCTATTACTACAACTACAGCTACTATTACACTGACGACTTCTACTCAGGCTACTATCACTACTGCTACTACTAATACCACCACCACCACCACTACTACTACTACTGCTGATGCTGCTGCTGTTACTGCTATGTCAACTAACTACTAGTAACTACTACTAACCACTACCAACAACTACTAACTACGAACTACTACGACTGCTGCTGCTACTACTACTACCACCACCACCACCACTACTACCAGTGCCACTACTACTTCTACTACTACTACTACTACGACGACGACTACTACTACTACTACTACTACCGCTACTGCTTTTGCTTCTGCTTCTGCTACCTACTACGACGACTACTACTACTACTGCTACTACCACCACTACTACTACCACCTGCCAATAGCTGCTACTGCTATCCTAGTAGCCGCCCTTGCGCTTGGATTTTGAGCCATTTTGAAGCATGGAAAGATGAGGTTTTTTTGCACTCGACACATAAGCAGCGTATGGGGCCGGCTTTATAGGAAATCTTCCCAGCAAAGTTTTACCACTCAAAACCTAGAATTTCCAAGCAAAGCTTTACCACTGAAAACCAACAAGTTTGTGACAAAGCACTGAGCACAGCAGCATTGTCCAAACGTTTTGTGCCTGAGCTAGCAATGGACATTGCACTGGCCATCAATTTGGCACGGAGAAAGGACCGGTGGCGACACGTGGTGGGCATCGCCAAGGAGCTTGGAGTGGATTTGCGCAGAGTGAGTGGCGTTGATGGGCAGATGTTGGAATCTCAGAATGGGCACATCAGGGTCCACAAATCCCTGGTGAGGCTGAGCTGGACAGATTCTAAGTCCAAGCGAAGATGCGTCGGACACATCAAGCTTTCGAAGAAGCTGCGAGCCATGGCCCGGAAGGGCATGGTTAGTCCATGGAGCTGCTACGGGCGCAACAGATCGCATTCTGCTGCGCTGCACAAGGCACGAAAGCTGCTTGGCGGTGGCAAAGTGAAGAGCGTTCTCATCTTGGAAGATGACGTTGAGCTTCTTGCAGGTGGTCTTTCGAGGATCCAGAAGGCAAGGGCTTAAGCCGCTTGGGTCAATGCTGGTTCTCAGCGGCGTTGCCCAAGATTTGTGGGCCAAACAGACTTGTCGCGAGGAAGCGTTTGATGGGGTTCACTATGCTGAGCGGGTGTACCAATCACGTGCGTTTGTCGTCAGAGATGTGGAAGCTGTCGACTGCATCTTGGAAGGCCTCGACAACAAGAACTTGGTGGCTGACGGCCCGCGGCGCGGGCACGGGCCCACTTCTGTTGGGATGCCTTTTTCTTGAAGCTTGCAGCGATGACGCAAGGCGACTTTGGTTCAGATATTCTGGCAGACCAGAGTGGCGGGCAGAAGGGCTGGCTGTCGGCGTGGGCCACGGACTCCGCACTAACTTTGTGGAAACAATTTTGATTTACTCCTGTCCGCACACACCCTCCGCTTTCCCTTTATGTATGTGCGTAAAATTGTGATGCAAATCACGATTAGAAGACTCTCAGGCTTGAAGAACCACAAAGCGACACCACAAAACTCGCTGTGGCCAATAGCTTTGCGTCGACATCAGGGACGTTCCAGTGACGACATATCCGTTTCTGTCCTCGAGAAGTGAGACTCAACAAGCGACTGTGACTGTCCAAAAAGTACATAAGCGCTACCGACGGCAAACATTTTAAAGCAAACCTATAATGTAATACATGAGTGCATCTTATGCAAGTAATATAGACGCTGTCTCACATGTGTGCAAGTAAAATGTCAGATAGCAATACTTGACTTTCAGTGAGGGGTATGAAACTTCAATATGGTTGGTTGTTCTATGTTTGTCTGATGAACTTCGGGTGGCGGTGGCCTTCTGGTCCGACTCACATCTTCTCACCAACCCGCGCGCCCTCCGCGTGGCGTTTCAGGCGGCGGTCAATGCCCAGGGCCGCAGCTTTAGCCTGGCGATCTTTCCCAGGATCGGAGATGAACAGACGCTGGGCGAACTGAGGGAATGTGACTGGTTAGTGGGACGGGACTCGTTGTGGGACTGCTTGGGGGAAGGTCCATGGACGAAACCGGTGCTATGAGGCGATGGCGATGGCGCGTGGCACGTTCTTCGTTGAAGAAGATGACACCCGAAAGAGGGTTTTTGGAACCATGAAGTTTTGGGAGCGATGTGGACATGACCATGCATGCGAGAAGCTTCTCACTATGCAAGAAACAGTCTCCGCCAGCGGTTTCAGAGTGGGGAGTTCTATGGAAGGAGAATCAAGATCCTTCGTTTGAGAAGGCCATGAGGATTTGTTGAAGTAGACTGTGCTATTGCAGTTGCTGTTGCATGCTATTGTTATTGTTCATTGTTTTTTTTTTCGGGAGGGACACAGAGTATTATTTGCTTTGGTCAAGCTGTTGACATTTTTTTGGTCCTTTTGGGGCGATCATAAGGTCTTGAACGATACCAGGGCAGCCTGTTCCGTGGCGTGGTTTCTAGATTGAATTCACCCTGCCATGTGGAGCAAGCTGTTTGGCCGCTTTGAGCTATGGCTTCACCCTGCCATGTATGTAAAGGTGAATCTGTAATAATATGGCAACATTGACCCCTGAAACCAACCCAATGTATGTAAATATTCCAGTCCCATGGAGCGTCTGGGTATAACATCAAAACCAAACTTTAGAGGCCAGTCACTTGCTGCAACAGCCACGCCTCAAAATAATTGTGTCACATAAAAGCGCCTCCCCAGCGCTTTTTTTCGGAGGCAAAACATGTAGTGTCCCTGCCATGGTACGAAGCCAAAGACTCTGACTTCGACTGCCTGCCCCCTCGGCTGTTTGGAACTCGCCCAAGGTATGCAGTGATGTATGACTCGAGCAAGGCGCTTTTCCTCGAGGGTGCCACGTACCTTTGAAGATCATCATTGGAACCAGTGGCACTTTCCAAGGGCTGCGGCGATGTGGATGGACGTTCTCTTCTCCCCAAAACTGACAGCACACCCTTCCAATTAGCCGGGTACGTATCTTTGAATTTTTTTAAGTGGTTTATTTCATATTTCCCAAAACTGACCGATCCTGCATGGCCTCCTACGCACAACACTTGTAGACCTGCATCCGATTCCGGCCCCCAAGGGGCAAAAAAGGTAGCAGTGTCCTCTCAAACAGGCCGCTTTTGCGGCTGTTAGGCACGGTCCCACCGAGAGGGCGGCTGGATGCTTTCAGTAGAGACGTCATCATGATCTGAAGAAATTATATAGCAATGAAATGCAATGAACAACAATGAACAACATATTTTTAACATATTCATTTTATGAGTGTTTACACGGCCGACTGTTCATAGTTGAACAAATCTGGCAACCCACAGGCAAATTTGACACAAGTATATACCACCAGAATCCACCAGAACTATCCATTCAACAGTAGGCACATCGTGTCAGTGCATGATTCTACAACTGCAGAAGGAACCCAGATGACATCACCACAATGTCCCTTTAATCTTCAAAGGTCAATGTCAACCCTGTCCTCACGGCCAGTGACAAAGGACTGTCTATCTCAGCATGGAATCGAACCCCTAAGGCCACATATTTATAGCTGAACATGAATAGTCGCCCAACAGCTTATTTCCAGGTTCTAGTGCCATTGAATGCTACCGTTTGTGAACAGTATCCTGCAACACTTGTTGGCATACCCTGCAGCAAGTGGACTATAGCTCGCTCACTCGTGTGACCCCCCAAAAAGATGCGCGAGAAATCCCGCGGTCCATCGGTTCCCGCAGCCCTCCCAGGTATAGCCCACCTTGTGTGAAGTAACCAGAAACCTCTTTGTGCTGGTTTCCGATCGGAACACCCATTCCCCTATCACTCACGACACAACGTAGTCTCTTCCTGCGAACGACGTGTGGGAGAACGAGTCGAACGAGAGTCTCGTTCAAGGTATCCGGACAACAGCAGTGTCTACTCCAGACCGCCATACGCCTTCCATTTGCAAGTAGGCCGGGCCGGTGGTTTCAGCTGGTGGCGAAAAGGAAGGGACTGGAGATGACGTTTCTTTTGTGCTTGAGATGCAGTGCATTATAATTGGGTGCCGTGTGGGGGTGTCCAACATGAGGATTTTTCAGTCTTGCCCTCATACTTTGCGTGAGACATCTTGAGACCCAAACATGATGTACATGTACGTAGTATCTGACCTTAGTTCCAGGAACAAAAGGGCAGCCCATACAATGGACTAGATCATGGTCCATACTTGGATGGGAACACAGTCCCAGCGCTGAACAGTGAGCAGTCCAAGCAGTCCATGACACAACGTTCGTCCTGCGCAGCTCGGTGTGGAACGAAGGACGAACGCGTCGCAGTCGCTGCGAGCGGCGACGTGGACGCCCTCGGCGCAGGCGGTTCCTCCATGGTCATCGCCTCGACGCACACGTCGCCCTCCAGCGCCTCCAGCGAGCCGTGGCCGTGGAGAGTGAGGTGTGCCAAAGCCACAAGCATCGTAGATACATGGTGCAACCATGTGAACAAGATGGTGTGTGACATCATTCTGCTACAGCCGAATGTGTGTATTTCTGGAAAAAGAATAGACGCAAAGCGCAAACCTCTGGCCCTCTCCGCGATTCTGCGTGATTGTTCGTTTGAAAGGTCTTGCAGTCTTTGTGTTGCTGAGAATGAGAGAAAGCAGATTATTCTTTATTTTGATGCCATCTTCGGCAAGCTCCCCATCTTCGTGGAGAAACGGAAGCCGCAAGGACCCACTTGGGCCAGATAAAACATCGACACTTCCGGGTGAACCTCTCACTGGTGGCCGACTAGCTTGACCACGGGACAAAATGGAACGGGAGCCTCTGTTTCACTTCCCCAAAGGGTTCACAAGGCTGACTTGGCTGATCTAGGTGGAGTGATCATGTGACATGTCTATACTGTATGGACTCTGGACTATAATATATCAACGCTCCAAACGGCTCCAAAGATGAAGGAGTTTATATTTTATGTCTGGTGGAGGTTGAACAATAATGAAGAGTCTACATTTCTGAAGAGGTTGTGGAAGAGATCAGGAATGACCTGGACCCAAACCCTTTTGGCTGGCTACCTTTGCTGCTTTGTCTTCCTAAGGAGATTGCTCAATATCCCTCGGTGATTTCTTGGATGGAGGCCTGAGAGACAAGGGCGCAATGAGAGACAAGGAACAATCAGCGAAATGTTGGGAGAACAGAAATGATCCAACCAGTGGGAGATCCACATATCCTTTGAGAGATCGCATTGAGTTTACGCGTAAACTTTGGGTGTTCTGTTCCTCCGGGCCGTGAGGAAATTTGCTGGATTCATTGGGGGAACATCCCTATCATGATAAGTATACCTAGATCTTCCAACTGTGCAACACGTCTGCCCTTTCATCAATAAAACCAGCCAAGTTTGGCAGAACTGTTGCATACATCGACATATGTTGGCCATGCCAATTCCCTCCTCCATCAAACCAGAAGGAGCACCCTTGGTTTCCACGTTTTTCGGCTAGATGCTTCATAGCCATGTTGACCTATGTTGACACCTTCCTGACTCCTTCATAGGCAACCTTCACGGCCGACTACTACATGGTGGCGGGCGACTACAACGCCGACGGGAGCTACTTTGATGAGGCGAGGTCTAGGGCTATTCGAGAGCCCAGGGCCGGGGGGACCGTCGTCACAAAAGCGAGCGAGCCATGCAAGCCGAGACCAAACCGAAGGAACGGATGGGGGAGTTGTTTGGGGGGATGGCCCATAGATAGTACAGATATGGTGCATCCGGTCCTCAGGAGTCTTGGAGTCTTGACTTCGAAGAGGTGTGCCAGCCGGGCCGAGTGAACTTTTTTTGGAAGGAGGCATTCCAGCACTAACATGGGAGTGGATGGCAGGGTCCCTTGGAAGACCGTGTTCCTCCACAAACAGGTGGAAAACTCCACTTCCATGTTAGTTCCAATATGTTCCAAGGAGAGTAGAGCTCTCGTTGGTTTTTCTTCTTGGCCCCAAGTGCTATTTGGTACTTCCAATACTGGTAGCTGCGGCTCCACTCTCAGTACCACAAGGACTACAGTAATTTGTCGGGAAAGACAAGAATCCGAGAGCCCATCAGAGATGCAGCGATATGAAAGAGTTCCTTTTATTGAACTTCGTCGAGGCAGACTCGTAGACCCTTGATAAACAAGCCCACTCGCATGAAGAAGTTTTGCAATCCGTGTTTGGGGGGTTCTTAATTCATCAAGATTCCATACACATTGTAGATCTTGCTGTCCGTGACTCTACTTTGGCACAGTCACCCCTCACTTCACCCTTGAATGAGTCAAAAGCAATGAACCCATCCGATGTCGCTGGTTCTTCTTCGGTCGTCTTCCACGCTTGCTTGCGCGATGCGCGCCTCACAGCATGAACGACCTGCCTTGCTTTGCCTCACACGTGTCGCTCACAAGCGCAGAGAGCGCGCTTGCTTGCGCAGGACAGCGACTGGACGGCGATTATGAACAGCATCCCCAGCTACTCCTTGCTGACGGGGACCCGATGCGACCCGCGGGGACCCGGGACGCGCACGCACGCGGCAGACACGCGGCAGACACGCGGCAGACACGCGGCAGACACGCGTCGCACGCAGCACGCACCGTGTAGTAGCACTGAACAGATCAGGTTTTTTCGGGGGCTTTTGGTTTTCGGAGTGGTGCAAGCAAATGACACACCAGCCAAGCATTGATAAGTACAGGTCTTGATCAAGATGTTGATCAAAAAATCCGATCAAGCATGATCAAACAAAACACCCGGCTTGTTTGAGATGTGTGAGCCCCACAATTTACATTTAGTTCCTCTCTGTCTCTCTCTCTCTCTCTCTTTCTATGTCTTTCTGTTCTTGTTTGTGCTGAAACCACCTGACGTGGGCAGGAACGAGATGGACACGACCTTGGCCTTGAGCAGCAACACCTATGACCCTCGGTGCGCGCGTTGAGCCAATATGTGCGGTTTTGCGACTCCAGAGGTGAAGTAGCAGCCATCTGGCAGCCACCGGGCCACCCCAAAAACGGAACTTCCTCACAGGGAACTGAGACTGGTGAGAAGTTCGGTGGTGGAGCTGAGGGCTGGTGCTTGTTTTCCTTTCTACAAATGAATCAGTCACCAGAAGGAGCCCACCCGATGGCCACCTGCCATCGAAGCTGCGGGACCGGTCGAAACAGAGGTCTTCGCGAAGAAATGTCACACGAAACATCACGAAACAGAGAAAAAAATTGCTCCTAGTAGCTTCTTGTGACTAGTAGTAGTCATGGCCTCCACCCTAGTAGTCATGGCATGTCATGGCCTCCACCCTAGT